TAAACCCGTATTTTTGAGCGATTGTTTGGAAGACGAACCAAAGAGATTAAAGACATTAGGGCACAGCTTTAGTATTAGTCCTTTTTGGCGAGAAATTTGTTTGGCGACATTTTGGTGCGATAAATGAAAAATTATGATAACCTTGTTATTTATGGTAACCCTAAATACTGAGCTGAAAAATATGCCGCCATTTCTGTCCACCTAACTTTAACGAATTTGATAGGTATTAGAGCTTTGATGGCAGAGGGATAAACTTCATGTTTTTCTTAAAGTTACTTTCGTGTTAGGAAAGCACAACATTCAAAATATTTTTAAAAAGCTAAAATTTGATAGTTAAAAACGGAGGCTTTTAATATGAGTCTTGACATTTTTTCATGTGTCAACTCTGCATATTATAAACTGCCCCCCAAAGGAAAAAAAAAAAAAAAACATTTTTAGTAGCATGAGGTAAACTCTTGGTGTTTCCTTTCCTTTGCATACAAATTTAGACTTCTTAGATGTTTCTTAAAATGGGCAGTGATCAAAATTACCATGGTCTAAAAATACCTTTTTGCCTCATTTGTTAGGGAATTGCATGAATTCATAGACCAAAATCAGGTTTCATTATTGCTTTTATAACATTTTTAGAATTCGTCTGCCTATAAAAAATATAATGTTGCTTAGATTATGGAATATATTGCTTATAATTTACAGTTCTCAAATTTTTGTAAATCTCGCAATCTAATAGCTGTATATAAATAACCTTCACTGAGTAATTACTTTTATTAATAGTATGTTGACATAACAGTCGACTTTTTATTTTAAATTTTATGCAAATTTTCTACATTACTTTAACATTTAATCTAACAGAAATCTGAATTTTTTGTAATAAAAATTCTAATAAAAGTATGAGTACAATTTATATATAAAATTTGACTACATGGCAAGCACTTAGATACTGATTTCAATGTCTTTAAATGTAATTATTATAAATTTTAGATATATTCTTATTAGGTTAAGATATACTGTTATTCTATTATAAAGTTTGATGTGCAGAACATAAGACACACTTTGCCTACGACTCAATCAACCACTTGTGGTAAGATAACTTATCATAACAATTAAATGTAAAATTTAAATTCAAATAAATTTGTAGCCAAAGGCTACACAAATCAATTTAATGCAAAGTTTGTTCAAAACTTAACCGGCATGAAATTTAACCATCAGCAATTATAATGCAAGACTGAAGACTACAAATCTTATCTTATCTAGCAACCTAGTAATATGGCCTCGAAAGGCAAAACATTGTTTGTTTTAGAAACTAAAAATTTCATTTGGATTCTGGTGGGAAAACGGATGGGGAAATTGACAGTAAAGATCCCAAACATAAAATAATTCTGGTTACAAAATAAAGAAACGTTACATTATACTTTGTTCCCTGATTAATTATTCACTACATGAACTAGTGTAATGCATTTTTAAATGCTGTCCAAAACTGAACAGGATTTTGCAAACATATTGACCATATTTTTCGACCTATAGATGCAACACTCCATCACTTCAGAAATAAGATTTACAATTAAGAAATAAGAAGAGAGAGTATTTATGAATAGAAAATAAATATATACGCTGGCTAGAAGAAGGATGCCTTCATAAAGGACTTTTTAAGAGAAACTGGCTCAGATTCACATTACATGTAAGGAAAACCACAAAAACTCCCATATAGCCAGCCTGAACTACCACTGTTCAGTGGCTTATCACTCCACCACTAGTGGATTCCAATGATTGTTCGAATCTTTCACAGAAATCATCAGTTATGATGATTGTTGTTGTTTATTATTACCATTGGTACAGAATTTACTCAGTATGATAATTTAATTTTAGCTTTTAAATTATAATCATAAATTACTTTTAATAAATAGAGTGATTAAAAAATATACGCTTCTTAATATTTTTACCATTTACAAAATTTAATCATAAAAAGTATTTCTAACGCTGGTACAAAATTTACTCATTATAATTTAATTTGATTTCCTTCACTTATATTAAGATTTTTTTATTTTCTTTTAATAACCGAATCTAAGAAACTAAAGTAACATATACTAGTTTGAAATGCATTTGTTAACCTTTTGTAAATTTCATTTTTCATAACATAAAAATTAACCTTTTGTAAATTTAAAATATTAGCTAAATACTAATATAATATAAATATTAACTAACTACTCAAAATATTAATGTTTAATACATTAATATTATATTTTGTAATCTAAAATACTAAACTTTTGTAAATTTCATTACTCATAACATAATCACTGCCATAAATTCATTTACGGTAGTGTTCTAAGAATTTATCATAGCAGTAGTAGAAATGTTGAAAATTAGAGAAAGACTGTTTGTTCTGATGAAGAGCTTATTTTTTAGAATTGTTATTTAGTCTAGATCGGGTTTTGTTGACAATCCGCCATTTTTTCCCGATCTTCAAAGCTCTACCTTGGCGACCGAAGTTTGTCGCCAAATCAAAAATTCGCCGAAAGGACCAATACTAAAGCTGTTCCGAGATTAGTTGATGAAATAAGTATTATAGCAGATACTTATTAAATTACAAATATCTTCTCATTAACATGTCTGGTGATAAAATTAGAATAATTCAAGATCACCTCGAATTTTTGGGAAACAGTACGCCAATGTGACATCTATCACCTACAGCCTTCAATGAAGTTTTCATTGACTACAACTGAAAGTTGCAGGCTGTGAGTGCTTTAAGGGAAAATATGGGAGCATGTGGTCGTGTCTCAGCACCCAAAAGTTTACATGGGTTTCTTGATGACATCTGTTGAGGATGGCTTATTCACGCCAAAAGAGAGAAAATTTCACAAGGAATTTTACCGCTTTCCATCAGTTTTCGCAGAAGACATGGAAGGAGCACTTACAACTCAAAAGATAAGAAGTGAGAAACTGGTTTATTTTACATTTAATTATTTACAGCAGCTAAAACTGTGAAACTATGCTAATATTGATACGTATTCAAAAACTAAAGCGTACTGCTGCTGGTCTGTGTTTCTTGTGAAGAAATCGAGAACATAATTTTAATAATAGTGACAAAAAGGAAAAGTCTTTTTGTATTAAAGGCTTATTGCTTCTTTTTGCATTAAATACAAAAAGAAGCACAATGTTTCAATCTGTAAAAGTCCAAATACAATTCCAGTTCTTCTCTTTACTTATACTAATCAAATGAGTATATTTACTCCTAACGGTACTTATTTACAAACCGATCGAATCTACATCAGTGGCCCAACTGCATTACTAAATCAATTCGATGCATTTTAGATGGAAGTCAGTCGAGTGATCAAGTCGAGCGTCAGTGTCTTTAAACATACGACATCCTCTGTTATTTGAAGGCTCTCTTCCTTTTGTTCGCTTTATGATTCACTATATGCATATTCATATCTATATCACTTAGGTGTTCAAATAGTTCTTTCTGAATTACGCTATTATTGGATCTTGCGAAGTAGTGAAGCCCTTAAACGGATCCGTTGTAGTTGTTTATCTTGTAAACTGTCGCAAATGCTACCGAGTATCCAAACAGAAGCTCCGCTGCTGTCAAAATGAATTGCATTCTCCAAACCGTTCACCACAACTAGAAGTTATTCATATGCTCGACCACTTGAATTGTATCTGGGACTAGTCAGGAGCTTGACAACTGATACGTTTATGATGCCATTTCAGAGACGTATCGATCGATGTGACGCTCTTACCCCATCTTTACTGACAACGCCATCAACTTTCACACCACAAGCAAAGAATTGGCCTCGCTTTGGAATGCCATAACGTTTAATACAATCCAAAATATTTGTGCTACAAACGGCGCTGATTGGAAATTCATTGTGTCACGGGCGTCGTTGAAGGGAATATTGCTGGGAGCGTTGAATAGTATTAAGTAAATGAAGTCTTAGAAAATCGCTTGGTCGTTCGTTGCTGGATGAAGAAGCACTCTCTACTGCATTAGTAGGAGTTGAAGCCACTGTTAAGAGGAATATCTGGAAAGGGCTATTGTTGAAAGGGTAAACGTAGGTCGGGACGGAAAATGCAGATTATGTGTACTGCGTGTTAATAGCGAAGAAGTGATCTGATAGGTGTAACAGGTCATATCTCTTAAGGTGACGAAGGTGTCCTGACCTCTCAATAGACAGTGCTATTCGTGATGTCAGTCACGATTGTCCTACGCTGTGGAGTTTCATTGGACTTTGGAATCATGCAACTGAAAAAATTGTAGAATGACACGTTTATTTTTTTAAAACAATGTATGTTGAATAACGAAATAAAATGTCCATATAAACTCAAAATTTGGCAATGAAGGCTAGAATGGAAGGCTATCTTCTACTAGCTGTCTGTTCTCACCTCTATCCGTCAACATAATAATTCAGCGTTATGTTGATTTGCTCGTAGATCCAATTCTGCCTTACTTGCAGCATATCCCAGGAAGAGATATTTAGCACAACAACGTTAGACCGCATGTTGCTCGTGCTACTGTGAGTAGCCAGCAAGCATATGACTTGCTACTAACCACCACAATGATCCAGATGTAAAAAGGCATCAGACACAATGAGCCTGATTTCTTAAGATGTTTCAGAAAATATACAAAGCTTGCTGACATAAAATATAGTTACCCGAGCTTGCTTATATACTATAGTTAATTGATTGCTTGATTGGTATACTAAAATGCTCTACAAGAAATATAACTGACTTGTTGAAATATCATAACTTGAAGTATAACTAGGTAAACAGATTATCTCTTAATATGAAATTTAAGAGTGATAAATTACTTGACTAAGTTTTTAATTATTGGGCTTCTAAAATCTAAATGTAATGTCAGTGGCATTTCTTTTTAAAACGTATCTCATATTAAACCGAATATAGTAAATAGGTTTCCGCCATTACATTTAAGCTGCCTCAGCCATTTTTCACAACTATATTGTAAATATATCTTAATTTAAGAAAATTTTACAATTTAATGAGACTACTTTAAAATATCATGAACATACTTTATTTACAGAAATACTCTCATTCATTTTTATACATTTAAACATATCAGCGGTCAACAAATGTGACGCAGTTCTATACAGCATAATAATACAACTTTAGCAACTACGTTACATCTAATTACCACAAATAAAGCGAAAGCTTGGCATATATTTCTATAAATAATGAAAACAAAGGAGCGTCCTTCATTTATGTTGATAACGGAACCACATTCACCATCCCTGAATATCCATTGAGCGTTCAGGTAAACCATGTTGAACGCGACATCTTTACATCTGAAGAATTCGTCATTTTGTGAGAACTATCCTGGAATCTTGGAAAGCTGAGAGAAAAGAGAAGACCTTTTATAATGATTAAATTAAAAAATGTCATTAAGCATTTTATTCTGTCTTATCACTTAGCGGTATAAGACATTTTAATAAAAGCTATGAATCATTCTTCAAAATTCATAATAAAGAATATCATAGCTTTTTTACTATGTATATGTAAGCATGAATATTAAAATTCGATTAATCTAATGACATAATATTTTGTTTGATATAAAAACAAAAACTGTGATTTATATGTATTGAAATCAGGTGTACATATTTAGGTTGCACTGTCTTCTCAAAAGCGTTACTGATTTTTAAACTTCATGTCCAATTTATATGTCAAAACAAAAGTATCATAGTTTGTGCTTTTTAATAAAGAAGAGGAAAATATTGAGTGCTGCAAAAAAGGGACGAAACAGTGAGAAATGATAAGTTTTTTTTATTTCTATTAAAACGAAATACGTGACTTCAAATTAATAATTGTCTTTGGTTTAGCATAAACTTAAATATGTTGATGTTCCAGACTGAGGGTTCGAGAACATTGGCCTTAATAAATGTGTTGAAGGAGATCCACGAGCTCTCAAAAGAAAAGTAAGAATATTATATTCTAGAATAAAATTTCTCGGCATGTTTCATATATGCTAAAACCATTAGGTCTTAAGCAAAAGTTTATTAAAAGAAGATAAGAATTAGAAGTGCATGTGTTTAATCTAGAGTTTAAAACGATTTTCAGCGATAAATGGCCATTCATTTGAATAGCTGAGTGGATATTGCATCCGTCTTCCAGTAACACTGACGTGAAGGAAATGAAAAGCATTTGTCCCATTTGCTATTGGGCCCTATAGGCCAGCAAATCAAAGCAACAAATTCATTATAAACAAGTGCTCAATTACAATAAAACAATTAAATTTAATTTATTGCATTATTTCAAAAGGAAGAGCATCAGATAAATTCAAAAAACAGTAGTCTAATGGTATGAGTTAGATTCTAAAACGAGCAATGGGGGTCCACTCATTCTTTTCACATATATTTTTGTGTTATGTATATTTTTAATTTTATTATAACGAAGTAACCAGAAAATTTATTTAAGAAATCCAAACTTATATAAAAATAATTCAATGTTACTTTTAAAATGCTAAAATGTAAGATTAGTTGGTATACAGGTTGAAGCAAAACACAAAGAAATAAAAATTCTTCCTAAAAGGAATAATGCCTTGGTGAAAACCTCTTTAGAACAACCCGTTCACCGGAATTTGAACGCTGAATGTTCAGCAGTTTCAGCAACTCGGCCGAGATAATGGAAAACGTAAAAGCAATACGAAACCACTTCACAAGAAACCTTTTAACATTAAGTTCCTTAGAGATAACATGCAGCACAATTAATGAATACTACCAGAGTTTTTTTTTTTTTTAATTTGTATAGATTTGAAGGAATAAATATATATGACAGATGTGTTAACGCGATATCAGAGTATATGCCGAAGCCACTATAACTGTACGAGTTGTCCCATCTCCAAACGATGCACTTGGTATTCACTAAGAGATTCTGTAGTAAAAATTATCTCCTTTTAGACCGTTACCATTCCGTGTTAATACAATGAGAGAATATATTGCGTTGATGCTTTTAGTTTGGCTAGAAAAGTGGAAAAGAGAAAGTCTTAAAAAAGTAATTATAGTGTTAGATAACATCATGCATTGCAATGGTGATTGGGAAAGATTTATGTTGGGAGCTCTAGAAACAGCCATGAATGATAATAGATTACCTATAGTAAAAATAAATAGGAAAGATAGTCAGTCAGCTTATAGAAAGTCATGTTTTAAATAACTGACAGTCCTTTTATTTTTAAACATCGATAATAAGATCAAAATGAATGCTTGGACACTAATGCGAGGGCAATACGAATTTCAGGTCGATGTATCGAGATGAAAGATATATGTTTTGAGACGAAGAATAGCTGTAAGCCAGGATAATTGATTAATGCCATCGTTACTCCTGTGTCCGGAAGATATTAGGCATAACTCTAAAGAAAACAAGAACTGAAAATCTTACCGAGAAAGTTTCTTTGATTGTAATTGACAGTATATTAGAACATGGCACCTCTGAGCAATGCCGATACTAGCCTTTATTGTACGATCGGCCCCGCATGTGCGAATTAAAATTGGCCCACCTTATTTACAGAAATATAATACGTTTGATAATCATTTTGCCGCCCTACAGTATATTCGAAACTGAAAAGGTACCATTTTAATGAAAAAAATGTAATAATTTATGGCAATTTGTAATTATATTATATTATATGAAAAAATGAATTAAAGAAATTTCTTAAGACTATTCTCTGTTACTCTATTACTTTGTAATGGATATTAATACTTGTAGGGTTTCATTTGGTCTGGTCCAATAATCCTAAAAAACATGAAGCGAGTTATAGCTATATCTGAATCAACGACAGTCATGAGAAAGTTTAAAATAACCTTTTTATTTTAAACAAGAATTTAGAACCAAAAGCACTTCCTTGTGGTACAATTTCCACAACTTGTAGTGCAACATAAAATAGAACTGTTCAAATTAAATCAAATGTTGAATAGTAAGGTCGAATAATTGCAACTGTCAAAACCACGATGCCAGAAACGCGCTTTGTGTTAAAATCCAAATTCCTCAATTTGAATACTAGCTACTCATTTGCATTCTGCTGAAGATTACGGAAAAGAGAAGTTATAATAATGGCTGAAAGTATAAATATCTTGAGAAATATGTAGGGAAATTAACATAAATTTCCCTACATATTTCTCAAAAATTTATGTGTTCAATTTGATCCAAAGCACTGTTAATAAAGGACTTTTTAGTAATCTTCCCAAAATCTGAACTTACCCTTGAAATTCAGTTCAGTAGTAGGAATATTTGGGTACCCTATATGGAATAGCATGAGATGGAGCATAATGAGCGCCAGCGTGATGAAGTGGTGCATAATGAACTGGAGCTGAATAGACTGGAGCATGAGGTACTGGTGCTGGGACATGGAGGGGAGCTGCTGAGTGGACTCCGACAGCAGCGGGATTCTGATTGGCAGTTCCTGGTTCATTGGTTTTGACTTGAGCTCTGAAACCGTGATGATCGGCAACATAGTCTACTTGACGATGGATTCCATGGGCATCTACGTATCCGTAGCTTCCTTTTACAGCTCCTTTGCCGTCTCCGCTTTCCTTTCGGAACTGTTTATTACCATAATCATCTTTTACATCGTAACCGTAATCGTAGGGTTGAGGTGCATGCTAAGGAGAAAAAGAATATGCTAAATGTTAAAAGGAATATTTAATATTACTTTACTATAGACACTATATTCTTTCATAAAAGTATGTGGACACTAAGTTAATTTTTTAAGTATAATTTTTCAATTTGTTTTATTTTATAAACACGTTTTTCTTTTTAAATATCCGAAAAGCTTCCTAACAGGGAAATTTAATGTAATTAACATGATGGATATTGAAGCTGTATTTAAAAATTAGTAGCTTAAACATTTAGAAAAGTGGTATAAAGATGGGAAATCCATTATAGAGGAAAAGACTATAAATGAATGTCTAAAAGTTTATGCTTACATAGTCATAAGGTCCTGCATGGCCATGACCATATCCATACCCATGTGAGGGATAATGATGTCCGTACTGAGCTGCAGCAAGGGCTGCGAAAGCGAAGACAACGGCAACCTAAAATTTTATGCAATATTAAATAAACTGCGAAATAGATACAAACAAGTATAAACAAAACTTACATACGTAAAAATTTTATATGCATCATTTTCCCCCTCTTATTTCTCAATCCATTTTTTTAAGAATTAACCTAACACTCCCGTAAAGTACTCCAGCAAAAAAAGAGTAATAGTAATTTTATACTGTGACTCTACTTACGTTCGAATATTTTTTAATATAAAAAATATTAATCATTTACCAGTTTAAAAGTATGACTTTTGCATAAAGGTATACAAGGAATATTTTAAAAAGTTTTTGTATTTAATAAATTTATATATCTTAAATACTTTTAAATTTAAAAAATCTGCAGCTTTTTCTTCTTAAAACCATGTGTATCGAGAACACACACGTTCTTCTAAAATCTTCTTGGTGTTCTTATAACATTTACACGTTGCATCGCAAGTTAATTCCTATTTATTGAAATTAAGATTTAATCAAAGAATATAAACGAAATATTTTATGCATTTTAACACAATAATAATCTAGACTAAATTTTAACTTCATTTTTGGCAAATGGGAGTTAAACATTTCGTAATTTATTTTTTATAATGAGTATAACATTTTCCTAACTATCAGGATTGGAGGACCGCGTAAAAAGTTATATTTTACATAAAATCTATTTTGTTTTAAATTAAAAATCTCTGTATTTTATGAAAATTAGCTAAAAGAAACGTCTGAAGGTCATCAGTATTAAAAATGGAATTCACATTTTAAAATACTCGTTTTTATGAGTATGTCACTATTATCATACGCCGTGCATTATTTTTATTGTATGATGTAAATATATATGTATATATACATTATTATATCACATAAGAATAATGATAAGTAAAACAAAGATTTTACTTATTATTAAAAATTAATTGCCTTAAAATTTGAACTCTGCGTTTAACGAAAATTATATTTAACAATTTAACTCTTAAAAAATACACCTATGTTTATTTAAGAAACTGAATTTAAACATTGTGAATTAAGTAGGGAATAAAAACTCTTGTATCTTGAGATTTGAAAGAAAAAATATTAATTTCCAGGAATTTACCTTTCTCTGGAATCTTTTGAAATCAAAGTAAGATTAGAGTAGGCAGGATTATTTCAAATATTAACATAGATAACTACCAAATACGAGCGTGAAATTCTAAATTATTTCAAGAATATTAAGAATATGGCAGTCAAAGCTACTATGAAGTGATATCAAAATGATCACTGAAATTCCTATAACTGCGAAGCAACACTTCTATTGAATGCAGTAACACTAATTTTTCCACAGTTTTTAATTAAAATATTTAACTGTTCTACAGATCAGGATTTGAAGAATTCAAATGACGAAAACAGTGCACAGATTACAGATTTTGAATTTCGATTTTGTTCCCGAATGACGCGAAATTGGATAATTTGTATATCTCCTACCTGTAATAACACTTTAAGCACAATCTACATTCATTTAGCGATGTTTATTAATTTACCTGTATCATTCATTAAAGTACAAGAGATAAGAGTGTCATTAACAGATAGGAAAAATCAATAAAAGATCTTTAAAATATCAATTAATGCTTTGTTAAAACTATTGCTGTGATTTATCATAATAAATGGATTCGAAATTATGGCATTTTAATTTGCACTGTACAATATATTATTGTTTTAACAGTTCGTGTAACACAGAATGTACACACTATATTTACAAAAGAATGTATATTAGTTATAAGTTAATAACACTTTCCTTTTTATCTCTTATATTTGATTTCGCTTTAATGCATGTTTACTTTCACACTTATGCAAACGCTAAAGGAGACAAAACAGAGTTTTATGAAATATTTGAAAAATTATTTTTCCACTCTGATTTGTTTATTTATTAATTTCTTTTTCAGAATATTTAGGTTCTTGACGAAAAAGGACTTGCGTTATTTTTTGAAATATATTTCAAATCGAAAACCTGAATCTAATTCGTTATATGAGAGACAGAGTAACAAATGAATCTGAACCTGTGCATTCTATCAGTACTTGCAGTACTGTAACATGATGAGTTTCATGATTTCTTAAACCTTCATTTTTTTCACTACTTATGGTTGACAAAATGTTTAAGCAAATAATCTGGGCCATTACTGCATTTAAAGACAGACCTTGCGGATTCCTTTCAAGAAGTAATAAGAATGCTTAACAGTTTTATAGATCAAATCTCGAGCAAGATTTCTGTTGCTCTTCCAAGATTAGGCAATATTGATTCAGTTACATATTTCAGACCTTTTGATGAGATTGTTAAGCCAATATGAATATCCAGTCATTTGCAGTCAATAAATATTCAGTGAAGAAAAATAAAGAAACTCTAACTGCTCATCAGAAAATTTGTTAAACACCACAATATTCTTCTTACCTTAAGTATCATGTTTCAGGATGTAAAGAAAGCACCTCACTTCTGCTGTTTATCCTACCTTACTCAGCTTTCACTTTTATGCCTCCATCCTCAAAGCGCCGACAGTATTTATACCTTGTAGAATGGCAACATGTTAGCTAGGAAGCGATACCTTCCGAGATGGGAATTCTAGGTCAAGCTGATTTCAAACTGAGATTACACACGCATTGTGAGCGGGAACAAATGTCTATACAAAAGGCCGAGGAAGAAACCCTATTGTCCCCTTAAATGAGTGCTGGTCAAACATGCCGGCCAAATGGGACTACGTCGTTACATTGTAAAAACGAGCGAAAGTGGTAGGAATCTGTGTGTTTGTGCGTTATGATACCACGCCTCAAATATTGCGTTTGAAGACAGATTGAAGAATTACGAAACATAGCTATTTTTTCAAAGCTCTCCTAAACAGTTGGGGTGATGTTTAAGTATCAGGTCGAAAACGTATACCAGAGCATTGGTTTTAGTTAACAATGGTTGCTTGTTTACAATGTAGGTTAATAGCAGAATTTTTTTTAAGTAATGGTATAGATCATCTATGCCACCCGCTGTCTTTTAATTTACTAACAAGATCCTGTTACCATGAATTTCTCTTTAGGTTAGTTAAAAATCAATAAAAGTTTGATTCATGAGTTTCTGTATGAATTGCTAAAGGAAGAATAAAATGGTTTCTCAATATTTCCTTTCGAAAGGAACAAGTGTTGGTATATTAAACAATGTAGCTTGATGATGTAAAGTATCTCTAGATTTATTTAAAAATTGTGAGGCTATACAGAACCCTACATCACTATGTTATTTTATGGCATGGAGAGGAAAGAGCAAAGTTAGCTCATTTGCATTAACCACTGCAGGTCGAGAACTTATACCAACATGTAAAATAATGTCCACAGAAATTATGCCGTAACACAAATAATTAGTGCATATGTAAGTAAACATTATATTAAATATTTTTTTTTGAAATTTACATTTGTAAAACAATTAAATAAAGAAAATGCATTTATGTAATATTACTTCAAGGTTAAAATTTAACTAGACGGTATTTTATTTTACAGTTAGCAGTACGGTCTTAATTTTTTGGGAGGGGACGGGGAGATCTGTTCGATGATGAATTTGTTTGCCTTTATTAGTTTACTTGTTGCTATTACTAGGTAATAAAGATTGATAAAATTTTCTAGAAATGACTTCACGGGGTTCAGAAATATACTTTAGAATAAGATAATGTTATAATTTAGACAGTGGAAAAGAATTTCTTCGCAAAGTACTTCTGCATAAATTCTAGCGAAAACAAGGAGTACTTATTTAAATGTCAATAATAATATGGCAACTACATTAAAAAATTTTATATAATAAAATTATAACAGAAAAAATTTTTAAAAAAATCTGAAAGCTTTCAGATTTTATATTACGCTCAAAGGGGGGATTTTACTTACACACACATATACGTTTCGAGAGCATTTGGGTTAATGTCCCTTTGGACTAAAAATATTAAAAACAGCATATTTGAAAATTTCCGGCAGACGGTATCGCCCTGAGGATATAGCAGTACTGTTTCTATCCCTACACTCATAACTATAGTGCATTGATTTCATCAGATATCTTTTTATATATGTAGCTCATTTACCTTTGAGAGACCTTTGGACGCAGTATAACGTATATTATAAACTTTGCTATATCAAGAATATTTCGATAGCATGGGAGTGTATTATGACGAATTATATAATGGTAGTTTGGAAAATGTGTTTAAGACGTTGTGTGAATAGTACAGTTAAAAAAATTTAAAAAAGGAAAGGAGCCGGAAGAGATTGTAGAAGAAATTTTTAAACTCGCTAAAGATCTAAAATTTTTAAACTCGCTAAAGATCTAAAATTGGTATGCGAAGTAGAAGGAGTAGGGAAAATTCTAGATTGTAAAACAAAAGAAACCTTCAGAGGAAGATCTGATGGAATTGAAAGCACAAAGATTGGAAGAAAAAGGAGCAAGAGAGGAAGAAGAGGGGCTTGAAAAGAAATTCACTGCAAAGAGTTTATCAGATTCTTTTTCTGGACTAAGTCGAACGACTCTCCCCAGTTTCGAACCACTGGATCCGAACGATTTACAAAAGCAGAATGTATCATTCAACATTCTGTGAAACATTCACGAAGAAAAAAGAAAGAAAAAATTCAAACTTAGCAGGTTCTTCATCAAGAAAACTTCTATCTCGATCCAGGAACATGGACATGGCCTTGACGATCCACAACTCAGTGCAAGTAAACATCAGTGACTGATTTTGTAAATTCCGCATGTATTAAATTTTACAATAACTTTTGATTGCATTTTGTAGCTTATATTATACTCAGTGTAGTGTTATTATAGCAGTATCCACAATACAAAGTTTCCCATTTTGTATTTTTAATAACAGTATGAATAATAAACTAGTACTTAAAATGCAGAGAGCCTTTGAGTTTAACCCCATAATGTTTTAACATTATCTAAGGTGAAATATTAAAAATGGTAAGCAATCAAAAGACAGAAGTGGAAAATATTATAGATAATAGACAGAAGTTAGAAACAACAGAGGTGGAAAATATTACCATTTCATATAAAATAATACTCTTAGTAAATACTTGGCCGATTAGATCGACTTACGACCTTTCAGCTAGAAAGAAAGTTAATGGAAATGTCGGTGATTAAGTTTGTATATAATAAAAAATTTTTTGTCGGTGATGACATTGATACTGCGAGAAGTAATATATAGACTATAAAGTTTTCATAACACAATATACCAACACACGCATATATTTCATATACTCATAGAAATGTAATTGATTACAGAATAGAAACGGCGGACATGACATTAGCAGCACAGAAGAAAGCAAGCAAAGAATATCTAGATTGCATTATTAATGTTAGACTAAGAATAACAAAATTATGGTTCTACTTTATTTCTGTTGGTTATTTAAGGTTTTACTTTGCAAAATTTAATATTATCAGCAGCTAAAAGACGTTTCGTGTTATGTAAGCTCATAGTTCAATTATATAAGAAAATAATGTAGGATTAATTTTGAGATGACGCAATTCAGAAATATTTGTTATCAGCAAATTATTCATTTTGGGATAGTGGTGTGTGGTGTGGTGTATTTAATTATGGCAAAGCCCACTAGGGCTATCTACCTAAGGGGGAGGGATACCTTCGTGGAGAACGTTCTAAGGGAAACTGGCTCGTATACACGTTACACAAACGAAAACACCCATGCAGCCAGCCCGTTCGCGGGATTCGAACCTCAGACCGAACTACCAGTGTTCACCGACTCGGCCGCTGGTGGGCCATTTTGGGATAGAAAAGGGAAATAACTGAGCTGAAAAGGAGATTTAAGGAGCTGTTACAAATTAAAGTTAGAATTTCATCTTGCATACACATTTAGTGAACTGTATTTAAGATGGACGCATAGTGTTCCAGAAGGCGGCTTCTGTGGAAGTGGTTGTTTTAAAGAAGACTACCATCGGTCATCACGATTACCGGTTTGTGTAATGGATTCATTCTTTTCAAGAATTTTGGAGCCTGGTAAAGAAAAGTATTGAAGCAGACTTGGTGATTTATCAATTTATATTTCGTGTTTTGATTCTTAAAAATTTCTATGATTTACATTGAATTCTGCTTTTATTTGAGATTGAATATGCCGTTCTTTACCATTTGCTAGTCATTGTTTAAGGATACTTTCAGACTTTTATTTTGTGCCTTGAATTATGAAATTATGATTTTCTGAATTATTAAATAACGCTGGTTTTATTATATCGCATTCCTTTACAACTCAGAGGTCTTTTTTCATTCTCATTTCATTTTAGTTAAAGACAAACACGTTTATTCTTTTTTGCAAATTTTTCTTCTCATTAATCCTTAACAATAACTTACATTTATATCCTAAATTTGTGATTATCCTGAATTTGTTTTCAATTTGTACAGCAGTGAAGATGCAATTTATTATGCATATTTTATGTATTTCAGTACATATAGTTGTTTATTAATACCATTGTAATGACAAATTTACGGATTACTTTAGAAGAAACAGAGAGAATAATGTAAAAACAATTTGCAAAATATTTGCCTTAGAGTCTTACATTTAATTTTCTGAAGTTCTTTAAACAAATAACATTATTAAAAAAGGGGGGAAAAGACAGTCTATAGAATTTTACGTTATTAGTTTTGCTTATTAATTTCAAAATAATTGACTACTTATTAAAATATTCATCTAACCAATTCTGCCTATTTGTTCTTCTCTTTTATTAATTACTTTCATTCCTGAAACAGTCCGAACTAAAATAAATCGGCCGTCGTGTTAATATCAACCACCTATCGTATTTTTTGCCAATTTTCTTCAAAATATCATTATTAATCTTTAGCCCTTTTTTCTAAATTAATGCCTTTACTTTATGTTTTGCAGACATTCTAAACCTAAGATTAATCACTTAAAGTTTATGAAATTGAAAGCATATTACGTATTTTGAATTGTAAATTTTTAAATAAACATAATAAACAAAAATAACCTCAAAAGCAGAATTAAGCTAATTTTGACGTCAGACGAAGATAGATTTGCGTTCAAATATTGGAAATAAAAAAAACTGATGTAAGCAATGTACTTCAGAAATCTAATGCGTTATTTAATATATTTAGCGTCACTAAGATACGAACATATATTGCGTCACTAAGAATTTAGGTTTATAATAAATAAAATTTAGGTTTCAGAAATATTGGAAATATGTTTTTTAATGTTTACATTTCTTAATCTTTTCAAATATTTTAGTTTGCTTCCGAAATTAAGAAAGACTGACGTTCGCGAATAACTGCATTTAATGGTTTTGGTCGAATCAGAGAGCAATCTTCTTAGAGAAAACTGCATAATTACGGGTATTAATGTCATTTTATAGCCTGAGAAGTATTGGTTAGGGGTGGTCGTTTAGGAGAAGTAGTCGCTACATCCGATTATCTGTATCATCGCGTCAGTTGATCTGAGCTGAATATATAATAATACAATTAAATAACGGAGTGAAAATCAAAAATATAAAAACACTCCCGCACTATTTGAACAGTTAGGATAAAGTAATTATAGGTTATGAA